TACAAAATTTAGTACAAATTTGTCAAAAAACGGCGAAAAATGTGCAGTTTTTCGTACGAAAATTGTACGAAAATTTCGTGTGCACAAAAAACTGTGATGGCTCGTACAAAATTGTACAAAGTGCGCAAGTGTGTAGACTGCACTCGTCCTGCCTGTTTCATTGCACTTTGCTTGTTTTACTTCAAAAGTATAATCCATCCCTGATAAAAAAAAAATTGCCAGGAATTTTTGTAGATTTGTTGTAGTTTCTCCTTCCCGTATGGAAAAAATCGTCTGCGAATGCATTGCTTTTTGTCGGCTTAATCGGATCGTTTGCGGACCGTTCTCAGCTAGACGGCAGACAAATCGCGATCAAGACGCAGTCAACTCTAAGACAGGACGCAAACAGGGGCCAGACAGGATTCGGACTTGGGCCCGCAGTGCATGCGCGGGCAAAAGTCAGGCCGGAAGTAGCGTGTTCGCAGACACGGCGCGGCCCATCCGCCGACCGTCCGCAGACCGTCCGCAGACAAAAATGTACCTCAATCGGTCTGCGGAACGTCTGCGGACTGTGGGGTGTCGGAGCTCGGCTCGGCAAAGCTACGTCACAGCTCGTCTTCAGGTCGTCTACGGAACGTTTGCGGAAGGTGTGGTGAACGTCTGCGAACCGTCTGCGATTCGTCGGGAATCAAACAACAACACAAACAAAAACAAGAGTGTGAGTCGCGGCGTGGGCGACTCGAACCCACAGCCTTTGGGCTGCTGTTCAGAGACGCTACCCACTTGGCCAGAGTGGGAAGTCTGAGAGGAGCGTCGCGAGGCTGCGTCAAGTTCCGCGCAGCCGCCCCGACTTCGGTTACCTGACTTGCAAAACAATGTGAACGATCTACAAATCAAAGTGTTTACTTGTGCGCTGTAACTGGAGCGTACTTGCCTATGTACGCTGCAACTAGAGCGTACTTGGCAAGTACGTAGTACACTGTAAAAAATTTCGAGGGTAAATTTACAAATCTGGACCGCGCAACGCTTGTCAACGGTCCATGGCTTGGCGAATTCACGCATCTCATTAGAGGGTAAAAGTAACCCTACATGACTGGGGAAAAAATGCTAAACTGTGTAAGAGCAAATTCGCGCATACATGACTTGAAAATGTGACTTTGCCGATCCACGGGGGTAAATTTGTCCTTTTGATGTGTAAATTATGTTTTCTCGATCCACGGGGGTAAATTTGTCCTTTTGGTGTGAAAAATACGTTAGGTGGGTCCGCGGGGGGCAAAATTGAAATTTTACACGATCACGAGGCCAAGGGTATGCATGAGAGTGATGGGAGAGAACAACTGTACCTCAGAGTACATCCCACGTGATGAAATCCATTTAGTCTGAAGTGATGGGCCCGCGTCTCGAACCATGATCCTCTCGCTCCGGACTCCGCACCGCATCTCATTGCGCCGCGACGCTTGCCTGCGAAGGTCGGGAGAGGCGCGGTACTAGACCGGCCCGCCGCCAGCCTATCCAACCTGGTCCGCGCGTGCCCCCTTGGATCGAGGAAGATGTTTCACTCATCCAAACGCAGAAATTCACCGCGTCCACACGAGCGTAAATTTACCCCCCTGGATCGAGAAAGATATTTCGCACATCCAAACGCAGATATTCACCGCGTCCACGCGTGCGTAAATTTACCCCCTTGGATCGAGGAAGATGTTTCGCACATCCAAACGCAGATATTCACAGCGTAATGGAATGAGTGATTTTACTATCATGAACGTGAATAAGAACTTACCTATCCACAGAGTAAATTTACTTATTCAATGGCAATGCAAATTTCCCGGATGGACACGTAAACACTTTGTCTCCATACATGTATCGGCGGAAGCGTATACCCTGACCACGAGGAGAAATTTACTCCGGAATGGGAAGACAAATTTACCACTGATTTTTTACAGTGTACGTACACTATATTTGAAGCGGACATCAGACAAGTACGCTCCAGTTACAGCGCACAAGTAAACACTTTGATTTGTAGATCGTTCACAATGTTTTGCAAGTCCGGTAACCGAAGTCGGGGCGGCTGCGCGGAACTTGACGCAGCCTCGCGACGCTCCTCTCAGACTTCCCACTCTGGCCAAGTGGGTAGCGTCTCTGTACAGCAGCCCAAAAGCTGCGGGTTCGAGTCGCCCAGGCCGCGACTCACACTCTTGTTTTTGTTTGTGTTGATGTTTGATTCCCGACAAATCGCAGACGGTTCGCAGACGTTCACCACACCTTCCGCAAACGTTCCGTAGACGACCTGAAGACGAGCTGTGACGTAGCTTTGCCGAGCCGAGCTCCGACACCCCACAGTCCGCAGACGTTCCGCAGACCGATTGAGGTACATTTTTGTCTGCGGACGGTCTGCGGACGGTCGGCGGATGGGCCACGCCGTTCGACGGCTCCGAAAATAATACGCGCAACTCAGGCCGCCGCTTACAACTAGAGTAACTGGGGGCCGCGCGGAGAACCCGCGCATCGCTTCCCGGCGGCGTCCGCGCTAGGTTATGTTTGACACGTTATATCTCCTAAACCGTTAGAGTTAGATGGGTAGTGTAAGCGAGCCGATTTTAGTTCCAACTTAGATCTACAATCGGCTTGCTTACACTACCCATCTAACTCTAACGGTTTAGGAGATATAACGTGTCAAACATAACCTAGCGCGGACGCCGCCGGGAAGCGATGCGCGGGTTCTCAGCGCGGCCCCCAGTTACTCTAGTTGTAAGCGGCGGCCTGAGTTGCGCGTATTATTTTCGGCGAACACGCTACTTTCGGCCTGACTTTTGCCCGCGCATGCACTGCGGGCCCAAGTCCGAATCCTGTCTGGCCCCTGTTTGCGTCCTGTCTTAGAGTTGACTGCGTCTTGATCGCGATTTGTCTGCCGTCTAGCTGAGAACACACTAAATGTTTAGGTAGAATTTTGTGCGTGCTACCCACACGATTTTGTGCATACGTGGAATATGCATAATATCATGCGTGAAAATGCATGAATTTATGCAAATTCACGCACAATTTTATGCACGACGGTACGCAGGTTTAAAATTGTGCATCACCACGTACAATATTGTACATAAACATTTAGTGTGAACGGTCCGCAAACGATCCGATTAAGCCGACCAAAAGCAATGCATTCGCAGACGATTTTTTCCATACGGGAATTGCAGTGATGCAAATCTGAGAGTAAATGGATGTCGAGGCCTGGTGCCAGGAAAGGGGTATGATATTCTTCGCCTGGACTTTCTTCCCCAACCTACCCCTACCTTTTCGCTCGTGTGGGCCTACACTGCAACACGGCTGCGCAGTGCCTCGGTTATCAGTGCAGTGCCCATTAGGGGTGTGGATCGGTTCGCTACCTGTCCGCCGGCGTTGCGCTCCCCTGGACCTACTCCGGCGAAAACACGAAAGGAACACACTGAGAAAACCTTACAAACTATTTCAGGCTTTACAAAGAAAAGCAGCTAGCAGCTTGTTATAACAAAGTATTTTGAGCATACGTAAGGTTGCAAACAAAATACTTCGTAATTTACGAACTATTTCTTCGTATAGCAAAGTAAATTGGTTTGTACTTACACTGGTAGAACTCAAGCGTACTTTTACGCCTTTCTTCAAGCGTAGTAGAACTACGCTCGGCTTAGCGTAGTTCTCCATTTCGCCCCTCTCCCGCCTATCTAAATGCATGGGAGAATTTCTTCTCTACGCTTGACGTCAAGCGTTAAGTCTTCAAGCGTAGTTGTATGCTTGAATCATGCATACAAGTACGCTTCAGTTTTACTGGTGTATGTATGCTCAAAATACTTCATAAGGTTTTAAGGGTAAGAAGTGCTCTGCTTGGCTGTGGGCTCAGGGGTGCGTCGGGCGTCGGTGCGGGCGACACGCGCAAGGCAACGCGCGCGCAGGGCCGGCCTTCGACCTCTCGGCGTGCAGGCGCCTGCACTGCACGCATCCCTCGCACGGGCGTGTGCTGAGGCCCCGCCGGCCCCGCGTCAGTCGGCCGCGTGCAGCGCGTGCAGTGCGGCCAACCCGCGCTCCGGTGAGTGGTGCAGGCCGCCCTGCCCCGCTGTAGACGACTTGAGCAAAGCAAAAGAAGAGGAAGAAAAGACCTTCCCGAACATGGTGGCCGGCCCCTCATTGGTCCTAGCAGCCGACGGCGGCCGTCCGCCATGTTCGGGAAGATATTTTCTTCCTCCTTTCGCCTAGCTCAAGTCGTCTATTGCTTTCATTGATGTTACATTTGCGGGACTGTGCAGGCGCTCGCCTTGCAGCAGCGTTTCTTACCCTTGCTGCCAGTGTCGGATTTTAGGGGGGAAAGTAGGACATTTTTCGTATTATTCGGGGGGATATCAAGAAGCCAAAATGCTCTATTGTTCTTCATCAGGGTCGAGTATCCGAAGGGGGTCGGATGCTGCGGGCGTTCAGTCCCGGTCCGCCGGCGATGGGGTCGCTCTAAGTAAGGACGCCCTGGTTTGCGTTCAGCAAGATTGGCGCGGCCAGGACGGGCCCGAAATGGCTAACGATCATTCCTGGTCCAGCCTATCAAGTTCAAGTTCTTCATCCACACACCCCTCCTCCGATCCGTGCCGGCCAGCTCCTCTTTTCCTCCCCTCCTCCTCTTTTCCCCCACCTCCTCTTCCTCCTCTCTGTCCTCCTTCTCCTCTTCGTCGTCCTCTTCCTCTCCTCTTTCTCCGCTTTCTCTTTCCTCCTATTTCTCTTTCCTCCTCTTGTTGTTGTTGTTGTTGTTGTTGTTGTTGCCTTTAATCTCCTTCCTCTTCCTCCTCCTTCTCCTCCTCCTCCTCCTCCTCCTCCTCCTCTTGTTGTTGTTGTTGTTGTTGTTGTTGTTGTCGTCACCCCTAATCTCCCTACTCGTCCTCGTCCTCGTCCTCCTCCTCCTCCTGCTGCTCTTCCTCCTCTTCTCCCTGGTCCACATGTCGCCGTGCCCTGCCTAGCCCCGCCCCGTGGCTACCCCTCGCTAACAGAGACTCCTCGTTTGCCCGCAGGAACACGGAGAAGCGCAAGGAGAAGTCACGGGATGCGGCGCGCTGCCGCCGCAGCCGTGAGATGGAGATCTTCTCGGACCTGAGCGACGCGCTGCCGCTGCCCGCCTCGGCCGTGGCGCACCTGGACAAGGCCTCCGTCATGCGCCTCGCCATCTGCTACCTCAAAGTGCGCAGCCTCATCCACATGGGTGAGTGCCAGTGCGGCAGCGTTTCTGATTCCGAGAGCCGTTTTCGTCGCTCTGTCTCTCTCTCACTCTCATGGGGCTTCCTGTGTGGGTGCGAGAGAGACGGAGCGACGAAAGCGACTCTCGGATACAGTGTGGCGTCGCGGAGATACCCCTTGATCGCACGGTGCGGCCTGCGTGGAGTAGCGCCCCCGTGCGAGCACGCTGCACAGTGGACCAGAAGACCGGTGAAGGCGGACAACATTCTAGACGCGTTTTGAGCTCTCGAGTCGCTGAACAGGACTCGAACCGAACGTGTGACCCCACCTATGGATTCCTCGTTCGGAGAGCAATCCATTGGTGGGGTCACACGTTGGGTTCGAGTCCCATTTAGCGACTCTGGAGCTCGAAACGCGTCAGTGGACCCTCTCGCTGACGGTGTGCTTGCTGTTGCAGTGCCGGAGCAGGTGACGCCCAAGTGCGAGGTGGCCAGCGACCCGCTCGCCATGAGCGCCATGGAGGGCTTCCTGCTCGTGCTGTCCGCCGACGGCGACATGGTGTTCCTGTCCGAGAACGTCCAGGACTACCTCGGCGTCAACCAGGTGAGGAGCCATAGCGGTGCACTTTGAAACCAAGTGTGGAGAACTCCACACTTGAAGTGTGGCGACTGAAGATTGCAAATTCCACACGCCCGCATTTCAAGTGTGAACTTCTCCACAATTGGTTTTACAGTGTGGTTTCTCCTGAAACGTCTCTCTGACGCTCACGTGCTCTGACTCCTCTGTCGCAGCTGGAGATGATGGGCCACAGCATCTACGAGTTCAGCCACCCCTGCGACCACGACGAGATCAAGGAGATCCTGTCGGAGAAGTCCGTCGCGAACGGCGACCAGCGCTCCGTGGTGCCGCGCTCGTCCTTCCTCAGGATGAAGTGCACCCTCACCAGCAAGGGCCGGAACGTGAACCTCAAGTCGGCCAGCTACAAGGTGCGTGCACGCTGCGTGCAGCGGCGGATCCAGAGCGGGGGGGAGTAGCGCTATTTTGCCTACATACAGGGGCAAGGTGTGAACTTTCGCGCCTTCCTTTCTGTCTGGCGGCTATCCAGACAGAAACCCCTCCCCTCCCCCTTCCTCCCCTCCTTTTTCCTTCCTCACTCCGCTTGGTCCACGACTGGGTGTGTAACGTGCTGTTGCCCTCAAGCCACTTCTCTGAGAATGAAAGAGTCATAACAAGGACTAAAATTTGGGGTTTGGTATACTTTATTACCCAAATTTGGGCGAGGTTTATTTTATCGCCCAAATTTGGGTGCTGAAGGCTTCCTCTGTCAGGCCCAACGCCAACGTGGGGGTAATTTAGGGTAGAGGAGGACACGGTAAGAAAAGTTCAACGGTCACTTTTCCTGCTGTTCAAAACCGCAGCATACCTTGGTCCATCTTTTTTCTCCACCCTTTCGGCAGTAAGGAATTATTCAGTACCATTGGCTCAGAAAACCATTGCACATCATTGGGTAGTGATTATTTTTGCGAATGATTAGTGATAAAATTATTGGTGCAGGTTGTCATTGGTGCTTTAGTGATTGATCGTTGATAGGCTCCCATAATTAGTCCTCAAGGCCTCACCAATGATAAATCATTTATTGACAAACTAGAGAAATGGGGTTATGCAATTAATACGCTTACAGATGTTACTAACAATGTCGAATTTTTAATTTATTATTAAGGCTGCCCTAGAGAGCAAAGCTCTGTCAGAGGGTTATCCAAATATTTTGACAGGGTGTGGAAGAACATATTTACATACAGAACACTTAAAGAATTAACACATGTAAACATCATTACATATTTAGAAAATTATTAACTATGTACAAATTTACAAAACAAATAACAGCTACTCATAAAGACTTCACAGTACATTTTACACTGTATACACTAAAACAATAGAAGGATAAACATTTAAAAAACTTAAAACAATTAGAAATTGATACTAAATTCTACATAAAACAATGATTGCACCACTTCAGAACTACCAGCAAAATGAATATAACTATCTGGAAAATTAATTGTGATGTGGAGTTGGGGTGGAGCCAGATTTCACCCACACAACTGAGGTCAAATGTTGACTCTAAAAGTTACGAGACAATCACGTCTCTTGTAATGATCTCATGTGGCTTTGGGCAAAGTAAAAGTTGTCTTCTTACTTGATCTAAAATTAATAACAATATGATAATACTTTGCTAAGAGCAGTCTAATATTATATAGTCAATGGTTTTACAACTAAGAGCAATCCCATTGTTGAAGGATAACACCATTGTGATGAGAGCCATCCGTGGCATCAAGACATTTTCCACTATTCATATTCATTAAATGTCCGTCAACCAGTTTCCATAATTGATTGGCGTGAGGAGAGTGGAAGCTGCACTCCCATTGCTCTATTTGAGCGCCATTGTCGTATGATATGCCTTTGATTTGCATGCATTTTTGGCTGTGAATGTTCATTATGAATGCACGATCTGTGAAACCAGGCGCTGGTTCAATTTTCCATTGTTGATTCGTCGTAATGGCACAATCCCATTGCTGGATTAGTCCTCCGTTGTTGACTGACCAATCCTTGTTATCAACGCATTTATTAGGGTTTTGCCGGGCAATAGTTCCATCATGTTTCATGGCCCACATCTGATTTGGGTTTCTCCAAAACGCACAAATGGACACATCGTGACACCAATTGCAAACTTGGTGGAACGGATCGTAAACTGTACCTTCGCCACATTCTTTATAAAAGGGTACGCCATTTGCGCATTGACAATATCCTTTGGTGCATAATCCAAATCCAAATTGACCATCCCCATTTCTCTGGCAGAAACTTGCATCACAACTGAGGCCTCCTTCCTCGACTTCGAGAAAATCTCGTAGCCGGGAATTTTGAACTTCAGGTTTTGAGACTAATTGTCTCGCAAGTTCAGGATTGGCTCCAATAATGCTGACTCTGGACGATAAGCAAGTGTCTGCGGAGCGCCGCTCCCTGTAGCGGTCTTGCTGCATTTGCTCCAACATTGCATAGATAGCTTGCATGAGCATCGCCATCATGCTTCTAAGTTCTTCATTCGGATCGGGTTTAGGAGCAAAGCTGTCATACAATTGCACGGCATCGTTGGCAAAATTAACGGTTTTGTAAACACCATCAAATACTCTCGGTATCCATTTGCGTCCTGTTTTGAGAATAGGACGCCCCACCCTTCTCAGCCTGTTCCAGAATCCTCTTCTGTGTCTGATGAGGGTTGCATCGCTTTGGTTAGCTGGTGTAATTTCGGGCCCAACACTTGTCACTGTGTCTTGAGAGCAACAAACTACTGCAATCATTGCCAATAGTCCACATATGGCCAATTTAAAATGCATGGTTATATTTTTGTAGCAAGGCCAACAAACTCTGCTTGCGCCAATATTAATACTGCTTTTTGTTGTTATTGTGGTCTTGAGTGCAGTTAGCTCATCAAACTTAAGGTAGTTAAATCAAAAATCTGAAACAAGGGGGAAAAGAAGCGTTCAAAACGTTATCCGGATTAGAAATCTACCGTCCCTATCTGCTTTGGTACATACCTTGGGTGGTTTGAAGCCCTCCAGTATACAGTTTTCAAGAAGTGTGAATGGATAGGTGGAACCCAACGGGTTTGATGCACCAAAACCTTTAACAGAAAAAAGCAACATAAAATTAACCAAAAAACATAAAATGAAAGAAAAGTTTTGACTTTGCCAACGTGCCATTCAGAAACTTAGAGCCCAACGAGCTAAGTGGGATGATCTGGGTTGAGTGTACATTCAAGACAGTTTCGGGTGTCAATTACTCTTCAAACTCAACAGTGTACTGAGTACACTCCCCATCGCAGTTGGATTCAGTGGGGGAGCGCCTTACGACTCCAGGATACTGTCCCGTCGAGCTCCGCTGCGTGGCGGGACTGCCTACCCCGCCTTCGTAAGGGGCCATGGCATGGCCAGGACATACCGCACAGTAGGCCAGAAGGCTGGTGAAGGCGGTCAAAATTCTAGATGCGTTTTGAGCTCCAGAGCCGCTAAATGGGACTCGAACTGAACGTGTGACCCCACCAATGGATTGCTGTTCGAACGAGGAATTCATTGGTGGGGTCACAGGTTCGTTTCGAGTCCTGTTTCGCGACTCTGGAGCTCAAAACGCGTCTAGAATTTTGTCCGCCTCCACCTGTCTTCTGGCCCACTGTCTGTCAAGCCCTCTGTGCGTTGCAAGTGGTACTTACTGTTCGCTGTAGACGGCAGTCGGCTTGTTTGTCTCTAACACACACTGGTGGGGCTGCACAACGACAGCACGCCCAGCACGGGCGGCTCGCCGATACACTTACTCGGAGCGTGTCGCTGATAGGAATGAGAAGCCGGTCCCCCAGTCACCCCTTTTATATCGAGTCGGGCTGTCAGAGTGCACTGTAAAGACTCGGTCCTGGTTTCTCCTGTACTAAATGCATACGAAGATGGTCCTGGAAAAATCTTATGAAACCTAATTTTAAAATTAAAAAAAAAATAAACACTTAAAATTTAGCTGTTTAAACATACAATTCGTGAAAGCTCTCTATTTATTTTTAGCAGAGGATACTTTAACTTTAAATCACCCCTAAATTACAAGATACAGAAAGGTGTCAGATGCCTTTTACTCGAGGTTGATGATTACTCCCCCTTTTTGGGGGGTACTACACACACCGCGTGAAAGGTACACAAAAATCACGTCTTCACTGTGAGAAAAAAGCACGGAAAAAGTACGGAACATGTCTGGTCAATAATTTGCCTGGAACGTCCGTACTTGCCAACTACAGAACGTTCAGTACCCTCTAAATGTCTTACGAAGAAATTTCCCATAATACGAAGGAAATGGCGCAAGCATAATACGAAGGTGGGTTTTCTTCGTATTACGAAGGTTTTTCTTTGTATCTTACAATGAAAAAGCTTAAAAGATTCGTATTACGAAGGAATATTGCTTCGTATTATGCTTGCGCCGATTTCACTGTAACATACGAATAACATAGCAAATTTCATTGTAAGACATTTAGAGTGTACTTTTTTTCCGTACTTGCTCCATATGAACCCATTTACATGGGTTCATATGGAGCAAGTACGGAACGTTCCGTTCCGTACTTTTCTCCGTACCTCCGTACTATATTTTTCTGTACCTCTTCCGTACAAAAGTACGGAATTTTTTACAGTGTTTGCACATGTTGGCAAAAATTGCATTACCCCCTCCTTAGAAAAACCCTGGATCCGCGCCTTATGAAGGATAGTTTCATGCACTTATTACAGTGCCTCAAAAATAGCGCTCCGGTAAATTCTACTAACGCGTTCAATAGCACAATGCAGGCGAAAATGGCGCAATGTCTTCCGAAAACGAGCAAAAACCGGAACCTTGATAACGCGGAGTGATACCGCCCGGACGGCCTGCGAGCAATATGTTTATCGGCACAGCCTGGTAACGCCGTGAGTCATATTCTGTTTTCCTCTTTCCGGGGCCCTTCAAAGCGATGCGCCCACTGTTTTGCGATAGATAACATGTTTTGCCCTCAGCCAGTGCGGGGAAGTCCCGAACACCTTAAGGGTGGGGAAAAATCGGACACCCCATTGTTAGACTGGATTTCCTTATTTCTGGAGTTAACTAACACTTGGACGTGGTAGTGTAGGGTACAAATTACCAGCAGGGAGTATTTCCTGGTGTTTAAAAGAGAAAAATGCGACAAATCAGCCTAATATAGGGGTGTGCTATTTTTTTCCCCGTACCTGCAGTTTTTTTATTTTTCCCCTCCCTGACCCTAAGTTTCATTAAAACAAACATTAAACTACGAAAAATAGGAGAAGATTTGAAGCAGCTGAATAAACAATATTGGAACACCATTCACACTAAATGTTTATGTACAATTTTGTACGTGGTGATGCATAATTTTAAACTTGTGTGCCGTCGTGCATAAAATTGTGCGTGAATTTGCATAGATTTATGCATTTTCACGCATAATATTATGCATATTCCCCGCATGCACAAAATCTTGCAAGTGGCACGTACAAAATTCTACATAAACATTTAGTGTGTTGTTGTTGTTGTTGTTCCCCAGCTCGGCGAACGAATCTGTTAATCGATGTCTAATATTAGGTCTATGACATCATGAGACCGCGGCGGATTCGCTCACTCCCTTGATTTTGTCTTGATTATCTTTATCTCGAAGAGCGCAGAAATGCCAATTCTGTCTCTAACAGAGCCCGTATCACTTGAAGTGTGGAGACTGCAAACTCCACACTATTCCGCATGGATCAGCAGTGATATGAAGCTCGAATTTCACTGGACATTTAAAGTGTGTTGTCCAATTTCAGCAAAATTTGTACCCCGCCTAAAAAAGCTCATCGAAATTCTTTCCAAATTCAGTACGTTTGCCCCGAAATCTGTCAAAATTCGACTGACATTCATTTGATTTGTACACCGAAATTCACAGTTCACGGTAAAAACGGTACCTGGTTTTCCCAGGAAGCCTATGGTAGAGACATAGGCAATTTCCAGGGAGTTCCTGGAAAAACCAGGAACCGTTTTTACCGTGTTGTCTCCTCTTGCTTCCAGGTGATCCACTACACTGGCCACATGCTGACGGGCCCGACCGTGCCCAGGGCGGTGTGCCACGACAGCGACTCGGAGGGCGGCTCGACCGACGGCGCGCCGGGCTGCGGCGGCTGCGAGCTGGTGCCCCAGAAGTGCCTGGTGGCCATCGGGGAGCCCATCCCGCACCCGTCCAACATCGAGATCCCCCTGGACAAGCAGACGTTCCTCAGCAAGCACAGCCTCGACATGAAGTTCACCTACGCCGACGACAAGTGAGTGGTGTCTCCAATCCACTGTCAAACCGAGAGTGGAGAACTCAACACTTACTGGCGCGCAGCAGTTCTCCACACTGATTCTTTGTGGAGTTTGCAGTCTCCACACTTCAAGTGTGGAGTAGTTCGCAGAGCCCCTATCTCTCGGCATGATGCAAACGTGGAGAACTTCACACTTTAAGTGTGGACTCTGCAATTTCTGCACTTCCAACCACTGCAATTTGGATGGAAAGACTTCACGCCAAAATATGGCGAGACATTACAGTCTCGCCAAGATTTGGTCAGACCTGAAAGTCTCGCCAAAATTTGGTCAGACAAAAAACACTGTTAAAAAAATCCATCTTAATTTTAAGAAACTTTTTTATGAAGCAGTTTACAAAGACTTTTTGCTAGTAAAAGTAATAAACTTTTTCTTCTTAAAAGTAAGAATCAAATTTGAAAAGTAATAATCTGTTTCTTAAAAGTTGTTTTTGCATTTAAGAAGAATTTAATATAGAGCAGGTAAAAATTGAACGCCTTATGTACGTAATGAGTTATTCATTGTATGGTAGTAGTCGATTTCACTGCCGAAATCGCTTGGAAGCGTGGTTCAAACTCGGTCTCGAACCCGGAATTCCGGATTACCGCACCGCGACGCTACCAACTGCGCCACGAGTGAGCTCTGCGAGGCGGGCTCTAGGATGTGGATGACTCCAAGCCTCTCGGCGGAGACTCCGCTAGGCAGTGGAAGCGCTCATCCCAGGGCCTCCAAACACGACTTCACATGACCAAGATCATCCAAATTTGTTCTTTACGTACACTGGTAGTGAAGCGTCCAATGATCACAATTTTAACTGGCAGGATGAGAATCAAATATGAAAGTCACGGTAATTTTGAATTTTAGAAACAATTATTGCATTTGGTAAACAGTCTCAAATTTAATGAACCTGTTTTTTAATTTTATAAAGTTTCTGAAACTTACCAATATTTTCATTACTTGTCAGAAATGTTTTGGTAAATGTAAGAATTTTCTTAAACTTCACAAACCTTTATGAGTTTTCATATCCTTTCAAAAGGTTATTAAAATTAAGATGTCATTATGCATTAAATTTAAGAATTTTTTTAACAGTGAACTTTTGTGTCTGACCACGGCCTTTAGGCCGTAACCGTCCGGCGCATTACGGCCTTGCGGCGGTGGTCAGACACAAAAGTCTCGCCATTTTGGGGTCAGACTTTTGTGTATGACCGTTTTGTGGCGAGACTTTTTTGTCTGACCAAATTTTGGCGAGACTTTCAGGTCTGACCAAATCTTGGCGAGACTTTTATGTCTTGCCTCTGGAGTGGCGAGAAGTCTGACCTTTGGATTTGTAGTGAACGGCGGAGACCGACGCATGTTCCACACCTCCGCATTTCAGGAGTGGAGTTCTCCACACGCGGTTTCACAGTGTCGACACAAGTCCCTCACGGCCTTGTTGTTGCCGTTGCAGGATCGGCGAGTTCCTGGGCTACGACCCCGCCGAGCTGGTTGGGAAGTCCATGTACGAGTTCCACCACGCCATGGACAGCGCCGTCGTGGAGAAGGGCTTCAAGTGCTGTGAGTATTTTTGAGTCAAGTAGGGAAAAAGGGGGAGGGGGGCGGTGAGTGGCGAGTGACATGGGAGTGAGTGAATGAGTAAGAGTGACAGTGTAAGCGACAGTTTGAGCGTGAGTGATTGTGAGAGTGAGTGTGAGTTTGAGTGTGAGAGTGAGTGTGAGAGTGAAAGTATGAGTGTGAGTGAGTGAGTGAGTGAGAGAGAGAGAGAGAGAGAGAGAGAGAGAGAGAGAGAGAGAGAGAGAGAGTGGTGGTGTATGTGAATGAATAGTGAGAGCGAAACAATGGGTGTGCTGTACACTGTACGTGCTGGCCGCGACGATGTGTCTGGCCGCTTTGACAGACTGACATGTCGCGGACGATGTCCGCGCCCCGCCCCGCCCCGCCTTGCTGCTGGCCGTGTCGCCCCGTCGCTGGCCGCGGACTGACGTGTCTCATTAGACAGGCGACAAAGGGCGCCGTGTCCGAACAGCCCCCTGTACAGTGTACACCCCGGTCGACCGGCCCGCGCCGCGGCTCCTAGATTGGCGATTATGAAGGGGGATTTTTTCCTGACGGCGGCGCGGCACGCCCCTGCAGACTGATTCCGAGAGTCGGTTTCGTCGCTCTGTCTCTCTCACACTCATGGGGCTCGCCGGAAGGGTGCGAGAGAGACAGAGCGGCAAACATATGTTCTGAATCGCTCGGCTGGCCGCTCTGGCGGGCTGCTCGGCTGGCGCTGAACGAGGCCCTCTGTGTGGCCGAGGGCGGGGCGGGGCGGGGCGACTGCAGCTGGGGCCGGACCTCACCTTGTGAATAGTCCCGTCAAGCACACCCCCTTCACTGTGGCAAAAAGCTACGGAAAATTCTGTAAACAGCTTGTGGTAATTCTCCGTAGGCCCCTTATCAATATTCTCCGTAGGCTCTTACAGTATTTTCTGTAGGACCGCACAGTATTCTCCGTAGGACCGCACAGTGATCTCCGTAGGACTATACAGTCTTCGAGGTCCTACGGAGAAGACTGTGCGGATTTACAGAGAATACTGTGCGGCCCTACGGAGAATACTGTAAGAGCCTACGGAGAATATTGATAAGAGGGCTACGGAGAATCCTGGCAAAAAAATTAACAGGATTTTCCGTACCTTTTTGCCACAGTGTTGGCGAAGGGCCAGGAATGCCCCACGTCGAGGCCCAGCACAGTGGCGGATCCAGAGCCGGTTGTTGGGAAGGCGGGGGGGGGGGGGGCGGGGGGGGGCAAAGAAGCAGCTTTGCTTTGTCTACTTACAAGGGCAAAGTGCGGCTTTTTGTCTACCTTTCAGGCGCCTTGCGAGGTGCCGTGGGCACCCTAGCTGTAACCGCGCCTGGCTCAGCCAGAAAAGCGGTGGAGGCAGTCAAAATCCTGGATGCATTCAGACCTCCAAAGTCGCTAAATTGGACTCAAACCGAACGTGTGACCCCACCAATGGATTGCTCTCCGAACGAGGAGTCCATTGGTGGGGTCACAAGTTTGGTTCGAGTTCAATTCTGCAACTCTGGAGCTCAACGCATCTAGAATTTTGACCGCTTTCACCGGTCTTCTGGCCGACTGTGCGGTATGTCCTGGCCATGCCATGGCCCCTTACGAAGGCGGGGTAGGCAGTCCCGCCACGCAGCGGAGCTCGACGGGACAGTATCCTGGAGTCGTAAGGCGCTCCCCCACTGAATCCAACTGCGATGGGGATTTTGACCGGGCGTTTTAAATCGTGCTGACGTTTGTGCAGAATGGGACTCGCGAACCGAACGTGTGACCCCACCAATGGATTCCTCGTCCGGAGAGCTATCCATTGGTGGGGCCACACGTTTGGTTCGTGTCACATTTAGCGACTCTGGCGCTCAAATTGCGTGGCTGCCTCCCTCCCTCCGCCGGCCCTCTGTCCCCCTAATTTCGAACAGCGCTTTTGTCGCTCTGTCTCTCTCTCAGCCCCACGGGACGCCTTATGAGAGCGAGAGAGACAGAGCGACCAAGGCGCTGATCGAAATCGGGCTTACACCGGCATGGCAGTGACGCGGGCCGGCCGTCTCATAGGACGGCCCGCAGGGCTGCGAGAGAGACAGAGCGACAATGCGACAATGCGACAATCAAGCCGACAATAGTGCCGTCTGGAATCGACTCGAACCGCAGACCGATTCCGAGAGTCGGTTTCGTCTCTCTGTCTCTCTCGCACCCATACGAGAAGCCCCATGAGTGCGAGAGAGACAGAGCGACGAAAACGACTCTCGGAATCGGTCCGCAGGCGTCGGCTGGAAATGGGAAACGCGTTCTGACGGGTTCGTCGCGTAATTGGACCCGAGTCCTTGGGCCCTTGGGTCCTGCGGCGACTGCCGGCTGACTGATTGCGCACATCGCTCTGTCTCTGTCGCACTCACGGGGCGTTCCGTGGAGGTGCGAGGGAGACAGGATGCTGCCCGGAATCAGGGCGCCACGTGAGGCGCGCCCCGCGGCTCCTGTGAGGATGCCTTACTGTGTTGCGCAGCGCGGCACAGTGTGCCGGAAGGCCGGTGGACGCGTTTTGAGCTCCAGAGTCGCTAAGCAGGCCTCGAAACGAACGTGTGACCCCACCAATGGATTCCTCGTTCGGAGGGCAATCCATTGGTGGGGTCACACGTCCGCGGTTCGAGTCCTGCTTAGCGACTCTGGAGCTCAAAACGCGTCCAGAGTTTTGTCCGCCTCCACCGTCTTCCGGCCCACTGTGCGCGGCCTCGGGCTCGATTACCTGCAGGTGGATGCTGATGTAAGGTCGCGCTGTCTCTCTCGCACTCAAGGGGCGTCCCGTATGGGTGCGAGAGAGACAGTGTGGAAGGGCACGTGGCGCGGCACGGGGTGGCACGCGACGACCTCGGCTGATTTGTTTACCAGCCCTTGCCGATCTCTTGGTTGAGAAGAAAGAGCGCTGCGAGGTGGAAGGGGGAGGTGGGGGCGCGCTGACGTGCTGCTGAGGGCGCGGGAAACGGGTACCCAGTCGGCTGCGGGTGCCGGAGGGGAGGGGGAGGGAATCGCGTTTCACCTCCATGGCACTCTGAACCGCCTGAAAGGTACTTAAATTCTCTGAATAGATTCAAATCGACTCGAGTCGAAGTGACAACCCTTGATTGGCACGGCTCCTGAAACGGACTCGACCCCACAGCACAGTGGGGGGGGGGCAGAAGACCGGTGGAGGCAGCCAAAACTGTAGACGCGTTTCGAGCTCCAGAGTCGCTAAATGGGACTCGAACCGTACGTGTGACCCCACTAATGGATTCCTCGTTTGGAGAGCAATCCATTGGTGGGGTCACACGTTCGGTTCGAGTCCCGTTTATTGACTCTGGAGCTCAAAACGCGTCTAGAGTTTGGTCTTGTGGCTCACTGCGCACTGACGACGGCAAGACGACAGAGAGCGACCACTGCTTTGTTTACCATTGTTTTTGTTGTTGCTTTTCCAGTGTTCTCCTATTCACTCTTGTTTTTGTTGTTTTCCTCCCCGTGTTCTCCCATTCATTTCTTGTTGTTGTTGTTGCTGCAGTGTTCTCCAAGGGGCAGTGCCAGACGGGCCGCTTCCGCTTCCTGGCGTGCGGCGGCGGCTACGTGTGGGTGGTGACGCAGGCCACGCTGCTGTACGCGTCCAAGGGCGAGGCCAAGGGCCACAAGCCGCAGTCCGTGGTGTGCGTGCACTTCGTCACCAGGTAGGACCCCGACGGCAGCATGCGCTTTTACAGTGCGCTGTGTGCGGCATTGCAGTGTGCTGCGCAGCATTGCGACCCTCTGCGGCATTGTGGTGTAGGGGTGGCTCTAGATTTTTTTTTTTTGAGGGGACCACCCTTTGGCACCCCTAGGAGAGCCGCCACTGATTCGCTTATTACATAGCTTCGTTGTTTCCGCATTTTTTTTTTGTTTTCTTTGGCGTTGTCGCGTTTGCGTCGTACGACCTGTACTGCGCTATTTTATTTTTTTTAGGTTTGTTTTTAAATGTACAGTGCAGCGGCGCAGTGTCGTGGACAGTTTCATCAAGTTTTTCCCTTTTAAATGGTTTCCAGCAATGCATGCTTTCTTTTCTTTTTCAGGTTGTTCTTTTGTTGTTTTTTTGATAATTCGTGCAGATGTGTTTATTTTGTTTTGTAGCAGCTATCCTTCAGTTTAATTTTTGTCCCTTCCCAGGGAGTGCCTTGTTTTTGTTGTTGTTGTTGTTGTTGTTGTTTTGATTTGCTTTGTCGCCCTTTGCATCGGAGTATCGGAGTCCCTTCGTTCTCTCGACCTTGCGCCCCTATTCATTGCCGTAGTGGACTGGACGGGTCCAATCACTGGAAACGAGTTTCCCGTAGTTCCCCCTCCCCCCCTCTATCTCTCTCCCTCTCTCTCTCTCTCTCTCTCTCTCTCTCTCTCTCTCTCTCTCTCTCTCTCTCTCTCTCTCTCTCTGGTGCAAAACAGCTACTCGTTTCCGGAAGACGAGATAGCAGTGTAGTGTCCATTGCACTTGGCTGTTACACACTAAATGTTATGTACAATTTTGTACGAGACACTACAGTTTTTTGTGCGCACGAAATTTTCGTGCAATTTTCGTACGAAAAGCTGCATATTTTCGCCATTTTTGTACAAAATTGTACAAAATTTTGTACAAATTGGTACGAAAAGTTCGTGTGCACAAAAAACTGTGATTTCTCGTACAGAATTTGTACAAAAACATTTAGGATGTATCAGTTGCTAATTGTGAGGCCCAGCTGGCCGTGGCTGCAGGCTGTTCGTGGCTCTGCTTTCGTCGCTCTCTCTCTTTCGCACTTGCAGGGGCGTGCCTGAGGGCGTGCCGCTAGGGTGCGAGAGAGACGGAGCGAGGAGCAGCGACGAGCAGTGCTCGGAACCAGGCCGTCAGGCTGGCTACGGCGCGGCGGCGGGCCCCTGCGCGGCAGGCCACCCATCCGACAGGGCGCTGCGCTCGGTCTGCCGTGCCATTACCATTAAGGGCTAGACCACACATGATCGTATGCCATTTCGGGCCCGACACGACACGACACATGCTCGCCTGCACTGCATAACAATACAAGGTCCTGCCGGTAGTAGGCTACTTGCAATTGGCTATTGACGACTGGACCACGAAATTTCTGCCGCCTCGGTGTCGTTTCATGGGGGTTGTGGGGAACCTTCGTCTTTGACTTTTAAGGCACGAAATAGCCTTGTAGCACGGGCAGAAATCGCACATCTTTTGTTTTTCAATGAGGCCCATGTGGCATTTTCTGAATTCTCCCAAATTTTCAATACGCTTTTGAGGAGAGTTCGCTGGAAAAAGTTTGTCTCTACTTGAAATCTGGTTAAAATCGCTTGCTAAGACTTTTTCCTTCAGTTTTCTTTCTTTTTTTTTTGACCAAATTGCTGGCTAAATTGCCGAGCCCCAAAAAATTGTACCCCTTACCCAAAAACATATTCAGATATGTTTTCTCAGATATTTTTGTTAAACCAGAACATAAATCGGGACATAAATCAAATCAACTTTGTAACTACCAGGATTTTGTAAAATGGTATTCTTATTTATTTTACCTTTTTGAAAGAACAAACACAAGATTTCACGCGCAATTCTGTCCGCCACTGTTTCAATCGTTTCTTTCGGCTCTCTCGAAGCCCTGCGTCGCGAAGCAAGTGAAGAGGTACATGGAAACTGCAGACAGCATCTGCAGAACAGAGGCAGCCCTTACACTCCCATTCCAAGAACGTGAGAATAGAGTTCTGAATGCCGGAATGTGTTCGCAACAGCAACTCCAGCAGAAATGACCTAAAACAAACTCTCAACTGAAACGCACTGTTATGGCGAGGCTCTCGTCGCAGCGGCACACGCCCAGCAGGTCGTACCGGTTGTCCTGGCGTTCGATGCACTCGAGCAGAGACCGTACCTGGGGGCAGCGGAAGCGAGGGGTTAGTGTGCTTATGTGCACACATTAGCCAACACTCAGTGTACTCACAATAGCGAAAAAAACAAAATTTATACAGGATTTGGTATTGTTTTTTCTTTAAAACACTAAAAAGGCGTAAAAACGATAAAAATAAGTCCAATTTATAAGTATTTTATCAGGCATACTTACCTGTACTCATGTACTCATGTGCACTGGTGAAACAAAGGCATAAAAATTATGCCCTTTAAGGGCGTAAACGATTTACGCCCTTAAAGGGCATAAATCGTTAATGCCTTTGGGAAGGGCATTAAAATTTTGCTTGAAATTCCTATACCATTTACGCCCTTCCCAAGGGCATAAAACGATTTATGCCCCTGGAAGGGCGTAAAAGAGTATTTATGCCCTTAAGGGCGTAATTTTTATGCCTTTGTTTTACCAGTGTGTACACCAAAGCGCTGAGTGATTCAGCCCTCGGGCGAGAGGGTCTCGGCAAGGCGTCGCAACGCACTAACGCGTCGGACTTGGACAGTGCACGGTAAAAACGGTTCCTGGTTTCATCCACGGATTCAAAGGCAAAGGTGATTTCCAGGGGGTTCCTGGGAAAACCTGGAACCGTTTTGCCGTGTGCGCCTACCTCTCTTGCGGCGGTCGGGTCGAAGGCTTGCCGGTAATTCGTGAACAGAATCCCGACCTCCGTGGCCAGAGTTTGGAACTGCGACAGAGACAGAGAATGGCATACAAAGCCGTGCGAGACGGAGTGAATTGCCGTCAGATTCAAACCGCTGGAATGGCTTTCCAGGCTCTACCTCCGTTCCCGGCCACTGGCACACTGCGGGGATGGGGAGGACGGTGACTATGAAGACTGCGTATTCGAACAGCTTTAGGACAGGGTCTGCGTCGTCGGAGTAGACCACTGCACCATTGGTGAGGGTAGCGAGCGTGAGCAGCACCACCAGAATGCAGAGCCCGTCGACGTCGCTGGACTTGCGCAGCATGTCGTGGAGCAGCTGCTGGCGTTGGCGCAGCGCTCGCCACGCGAGGGCGTCGTCATGGTCGTAGAGGACGGCGTCGTGGTCGTGGAGGATGGCTTCGTGGTCGTGGAGGATGGCGTCGTGGTCGTGGAGGATGGCGTCGTGGTCGTGAAGGATGGCGTCGTGGTCGTGGATGGCGTCGTGGCCGTGGAGGATGGCATCGTGGTCGTGGGGGGCGGCGTTGTGGTCGTGGAGGATGGCGTCGTGGTCGTGAAGGATGGCGTCGTGGTCGTGAAGGATGGCGTCGTGGTCGTGGATGGCGTCGTGGCCGTGGAGGATGGCATCGTGGTCGTGGGGGGCGGCGTTGTGGTCGTGGAGGATGGCGTCGTGGACGGTGGCGTCGTGGCCGTCGAGAGCGCCGTATTTTTTCAGAGCCGCCAGCACCGTCCGATTGCAGTCGAAGCGCAGGTCGGCGGCCGCGGCGGCCAGCACCGCCGGCGGGCACATGATACGCATTGCCGCGCAGCCAGTCAAGCACGTGGTCACCAAGAACATCAGCACGTATGCGACGGTGACGGCGGGCCCGACCACGCCGGCGTGGTGGATCTGACTCGTCTGGTAAGCGCCCAGCGCCAAGAACGGCGCCACGGTCATGGCGGAGAACAGGAACAGCGAGCGCCAACGCTCGGCGCGCAGTGGGTACGCGTCCAGGTAGGCCTTGAGGTGGTTCAGGAGCAAGGCCAGGTCGTGGCGCCGCGTGCTGTAGGTCAGGTGAATGACGAACGTTATGCCCAACCGAAGCGCGATCTCCGTGGACATCCTTGGGCCGTACAACACCATCGGGGTGGTGACGATGGCGATCCGGGAGCACGCAAGCGCCGCCAGCAACGCCACCAGGGGCATGGGGTGCGCGCGGCCGCGCCGCCACCACACTGGGACGATGCCCAGCAAGGCCCCCAGCCTGCAGCCAGCGGCCCAGAGGCACAGCGTGGTGCCGCGGAGAGACATGTCGCCGCACTGAAGGGCGTCTTGTGCTGACGTCTCCAGGCAGCCGTCGTGGAGGGCGTTTATCTGTCAAAATGTTTCCTGCCCCTCATGTCAAAGGCATCGAGCGGCTTGGACGCGTAATATTCCGACTGTGGCCCCGCCCTGCTGTGCCTTTCAACGCCGTGCTTGGTGCAGGGCCCGAGGCGGCACGTGCCTGGCCCGCGCTTTCACGACGACTGTCCTCACAGGGAGGACTGGACGAGTGTCGATACGAATCGGCAGCTTTGGTCCGTCCCGCTTATTTTTAGGTCAAGCGTGAAAAACCCAAAAATTGGATCCGACCAATAGGAGAGCGCTTTTTTGCTTCCGTAGCACTTACTCCTAAACATACTCAGATATGTTTGCTCAGTTTTGTTGAACCAGAACATAAATCAAATCAAATTTGTAACCACCATGATTTTGTGAGATCGTATTTTTATTTTATTTTTCCTTTTTGAAGGAACAAACTACAGAATTAGTCTAGTCTAGTCTAGCCCTGTGCTAACTGCACTCTAGCTGAGCTGCTATTTGTTGGCCAGGCATTCTGTCCAATCTGCAGTTTAAATGGAAGTAAAAATCTATTTATATCTGTAGTCTAATACTGAAGATAGGCCTACAGTTGGTAGGGGTATGCTGCAGTGCTCGCAATCTCGACATCTGAAAAAAAACCCTCACTGTGATTTTAAATGCCATACACATCGCTCGTCTGGTGCAATGCATTGAGACATCGCACCGCTCAGTTTTGTTGAACCAGAACATAAATCAAATCAAATTTGTAACCACCATGATTTTGTGAGATCGTATTTTTAT